TTGCTTAATGATAGGGATACATTCTGAGAAATGCATCATTAGGTGATTTCGTTGTACACCTTAGACTGTATTTACACAAACCTAGACGGTACAGCCTACTACATACCTAGGCTATATAGCATAGCCTACATAACACTAAAAAGTACAGTATAGTAAATGCATAATGCAGTAACATAGTCGTTTACTGTCATTATCAAGTATTATGTACTGTATACAATTGTATGTGCTATACTTTTATACGACTGGCAGTTAAGTAAGTTTGTTTACACCATTATCACCACAAACACGTGAGTAATGCGTTGTGCTCTGACGTTCTGATGGGTACAAGGTCACTAGGCACTAGGAATTTTTCAGCTACATTACTGTATAATCTTACGGGGTCACCGTCACATATGCGGTCTGTCGTTGGTTGAAACGTCGTTATGCAGCATACTCCTGTAATTTCAATTTCAAACAGATAATAAAAGTGCACTTTCGGCACGTAAAACACAAAATGGGAAATTGCTTCAATTTTGATTTTGCTTCAATTTTGATATTATTATTTCCAAATGGATGTGTCTCTCACTAATATCAAAGATGATTTAATTTTCGAATAGCTGTTTCTTTGATGAAGATGGTGTTACAAAAGAGCCTCGTTTAAGTGACTGTTTATGCCTCTCCTCAAAAGGTTACACGTCTCTGCTCCGAAGGCTGAAATAAGATGAAATTCCCCCTTGTATAGCCCAGTGTGTACTGAAGGGGGCACCAGCTAGACTTGGTCATAAGTTATTCACGGATTCTGCGATAGGGGGCGATGTTGGCATAGGCTCTGTGAGCAGAAGTTTCTGACCACCACACCATCTATATTGTCTTTCCTGTTGTCACTGGAGTCAGTCCTGCTCAGTGTATTTGGTTTGTTATTTGTGGAGAGCAAGATGAGTTGCTGGAATGGACATTAAATTCAGGAGGAGGTGGCTGAATTGCTGGTAACTTGGAAGTGAGGGGTCAGAGGTCAGGGGTCAGCACAGGCTCAGATAGAGCACATCGTTGCCCTTTTTAGTAGTACTCAAGTGGATATAAATATATTTATTTGATGACGATGAAATATTTTGGGTTTGAAAGATTTTCTATATTAGCGTACATGTTGCATGGATTCATATTTTCCATTTAGATTTTTGACACCTACAAACTTCGTGAAAGTTGCTCACTGGAATAGAACGAGTGAGATTTCCTCTAATTGTGACTTGCAGCTGAGGTCCCGTAATCCCGCACAGCCTAATGAACTACCCATCTGTGACTTCAAACGCCAGTGCTTATTACACGTTAATCTCTCGGATTTGGCCCCTATGGTGTCTTAATTACCGCATTCTAATTAAAGAACAATGGAAAACAAAGACGCGAGTTGCACACGTCGACATCGGCTCGGAATCCGCCGCGCTCCAGATAAGCAGCGTATCTGGTGGGGGCTGTGGCAGGTGAGCGGCGAGGTGGCTCACGCGTGAACATCCAGCAGGGGTGGGGGCACGCATGACAGTGGGCCTCAGAGCTCATTCCTGAGCTTGGTCAGGCGAATGGGAAGTGTGTGCAGAGGGCACAGCGGCCCAACACAGGCAGGGCATGTGTGTGTTGGGGGGATGCAGGGGCAACATGGTGATGTGACTGAGAGCATTAAATAAGCCATATTGCCAGACTGCCTGGCGGACCTCAACCTGCCTTGTTTAACACGCTG